ATTCTTCAGTGGTCGCTGTCAGAGTACGGACACCCAAATACAATACAATACATGCTCCTGAGACAATGAATGAGAAGAAAAAAGGCAATGAAATAATTTTTACTGTTTGAAATGAAAAACCTTTTTTCTTGTTATTCCTTCGCCCACTTGTACCCCTCGCATAATGATGTTGTACTCGTCAGACGGTCAAAGCTCTTTCTCTCTCTCTTTTTTTTTTTTTCAATAACGTGCACTCACCGTCGCTGTTATTTTATGTGGCGGTAAGGAAACTTCACATATATAAGACTCTCTTTAATTATTATGAATGTTGCTTTAGGGGAAAAAAAAATAACTGATTTCAAGTATACCTAGTACAACGCTCGTGTATTACACGGGTGTTTGCTAATTTTTTCCTTAAAATCTAAAATTATTGAGAAAAAAAAGTTGAAAATTTAAATAACTTTTATAAAAATATATTATAATAATATGACACTTAGTATATATATTTAAATCTTTAAATATTATATATATAATATTATGACACTTAGTATTTAGTATTTAGTATTTAGTATGACACTTTTTATTTGTGTGACTTACTTGTGTTATATTATAATATTTTTTTTAACTTACAACATATAACTACATTAAACAAAAACTAGTACGTAACCCGTGCGATGGACGGGACAAAAGTATTAAATGAGTCATTTTCACAAAGCTTGTCCTTTCAGTAGCTTGTGCGATTCACGGTAGATATTAAATGAGTAGATCATCGGGCTTGTTAGTTCAGGCCTAAAAAATGATAGAGTTTGATCATTTATTTTTTTACCTCTTTTCATCAACTTCATTTTTTTTTCAGGACATTAAACATGAGCCTGGTAGTGCTAGCCCGTAAATTAATTAATATATATCTAGTTAACATGGTTATAATAATATAAATTTGATTTCATTATATATATATATATATATATTTATTCCTTGATATAAGAAAAATAACAATTTACGTAATCTTGTTCCTCGTATAATACTCATATTATTTTATTATAAAACTTATTGTAAT